TCATTTTCACAATAGTTTACTGAAGAAGTGTTTTCTGAAGATTCTGAAGATCATTTTTGTTATACATCGTCAAAAGAGAAGATCACCGTGGTTCTACATTCGAGGGGGAGAATGCTAGAAGATCTTTCTCAACAGTTGATCGTTTGAAGATTACATGCTGAAGATTTCATTTGAAGATGACATTTTGTGCATAACGTGCAGAATTTTCTTTCAAGTCTGAATACAAAGGGGGAGAATGTTAGGACTGAAAAATCAGTATTAATTGTATTCGTCTTGAAAGATTAATTTTAGTCTATAATTGTAAAGTCAGCGTGTTTGACTTTCTTAGACTAGTTTGACTTTCACTTTATTAGTTAGGTTGACCATATAAATATGGTTTAATCTTTGTAATTAGTGTAAGAGGAGCTAATTGTAATATTCAGATTAGTAATAAGAGGTTTGACTGAATTGAGAGGATTGACTTTCTCTCTCAATATTCATAAAGTGTTCTTGAATGTTTATCCATGATTCTGCCATTGATGTGAGCTTAATATGAAGATTGATCAGTGATTGTGGACACACAGTATGGTTTAGAGAGTGAAAGGAAAGGTTTATGCAAAATGAGGATGAAAAAGAAATGGGAGTTTTTAAAGAATATGGAGTATTTATATGTGGGTTTAAAGAAAGGAAATGGGTTGGCCTTATTAGAGCCCAAGTCCATACTTGTTTATTTTTATTTTTTTTAAAATAAGGCTCATTTAGAGTAAAACATAAATATAATTGTCAAATACTGATAAAATATCAGTATTAGGTCRAAATTCCAAATTTTTTGTAAAATTATTTGGACATTCAAATAAAACTTTTTATAATTTAATCTGGACTTTTATAATATCAACTTTATTTTGTTTGGAGWATTTTAATGAATTTGGCATTACATAAGTTAACTTTATCAGTTACCCATCGAAATAGGATTTTTTGAACTATATTTTGGGAGCTAAGCCAGATGAATTTCTAATCAACATGACTAGATCCTAATATAATTCTTAATTTTAAAAATCCTATAAGGTGCTAACCTGACGCCCAAAAATGGCGCATGTCACAACTCTTTACCCTCCAAAGCTCTTCAGTGCTCTATTTAGACAATGTTGTACACATGGCCACTCTCCCAACCACTTCAGTGACCCAAATCACTGAAAATGTGAATATCAACAATGCCACTACTGAGCACCCACGTTCTATCTCAACCATTCTTTCTTCCCCTCTCTCTTGGTCCTTATCACCTGTGCTAATGATCTATCAGTGTTTGTCCGCACTGGTGGTAAAGCACTCACCATAGGACCTGAGGCCGCTCCTCTCGAGGTGCCTCAAATACTTGTTTCCTCTCCTAAGGAAGGAACATGTGTATATACCAGTGTGAATTAGATGAAACTAAGAACCCCACAAGTACTCTCTTACCCTACCCTTTTTTCTTTTCTACTAACTTAGAGCTCTCTTATGCTCAAGTTTGTCCTATTTCTACAGGTCCTTCTGGAATTGAACCCACAACCATGGAGACTGACGTCTATGACATGGTTGGGGACGTCAAACTTCTACTGCTTGTTGTGGCCACCGTCCTTGACAAAAATGGATGCGGTTCACAAGGCAATGCCCGTGAAGGAATACCTTACTCACGACCTCTCAACTGTCAAAATTGAGGTATGTGAATTAAAGGATATGCTGAAAATAGTGCAATCTGAAGTCAGAGCCAACATTGAGGCAGTTGTTGCTCTCGCCAGCAAAGCTGAATAAGTCCAGGCTCAGCTCACCAAGATAGTGAGTTGCCTCATAAAATCTTTCAGCTCTTGCAGCAACCGGACCTGGTCCCTAAACCTGCCTTCACCGAACCTGACTGTTTGCAATTGGAGCGGGTGGTCGAATTCAATCTATTGCAAGTTGAGGCTCTCTCCAACTTAGAGCACCGCATTGAAGACATTTCCTTAAGTCTTAATGATCTCACCTCGTGTCTTGATGATCACAAAGAGGGGAAGAAAGACAAGAGTGAGAAAATTTCCATGGAGAATGCCAGTGATGCTACTGTTGTTACTGATGAAGCCCTTGCTCTTATCCTCCATGCTGAGGATGCCATCACAAGTAATGAAGTTGAAGATGATGATGAGGATGAAAATGAGGATGAAGAATCTCATATCCCTGACATTAGACAAGACCTTAGAGATGACGATGATGATGAAGATGATGATGATGAAGACTTCACCATTCGATACCATCCAAGACCAGTTTAGAAGGGTGTCTCCCTTAGGGAACCAGCTTCCGAGGGGGAGATAACCTCAATGAACCAGCACTCCTCCTCCAAGGACAAGCAAGTGGCTAAATAAGGGAGCCCTGCCATCCTCTTCAAGGCAATCAATTTAACAAAAGTTGCTCAATGCTCTAGGTCCGTGCCCTTTTCTCCAGAATCTAAGCGATCTACTCTTCTACTCACTGCACAAATACATGCATGTGGTCCTCCAGATGACAGGGTAGCCGATATTCCAACATGTGAAGCTGATAAAAACCTAAGGATGATTCAGCTGAGAAGTCAGCTCGACCAAACCAGAGTAAAAATCCCTCCTCGTACCTCTTGCTTTGGCGAGTTCGACTTCTCACTGATGTCGAACAAGAAGAAACCCTGAAAGCTGAAGAAGAGCAGAGCATAGATTGTCAACAAATGAAAGACAGTCTAGACTTGGCAAAGTCTCTAGATGTCCAAGCTCTAGCAAAAAAAAACACAAAAAGAAGGATCCAGTCAAAACTCATGCCCAACTTTTATCACAAGTTGAACAAGAACATCAACAGGCGCTGACGCTGAAAGACCCAGACTTGAAGTGGTGCAATAAAAGGATCAAGAAAAGGATAACTCCCCATAATATCTCAAACGTCACCATCAGCGGACGGATGAAGGATGTGGACTACTCGTTTCTATGGTCATCATTAGAGAGAACCAAGATGATGTCACTGAGTAACCTTCCTACCTTGGGCAGTATGGCTTTGATGAATGGCTAGAGATTCGACAGGCAATTCGGCGATCCAAGTCAAAGAATAAGTCATTGATTGAAGACATTCTGAATGATTTTTTCAAAAAGGTGTCCAAGATCATCGAAGTCCCTCATCTACCAAAGAAGCCTTCCTCTAGAAGAAAACACCTTTCAGAAACATGAACATGAGACTAAATTTTCTTTGGATGAAATCCTAAAGGATCGAAAGAATCTGGTTCTCTCAAAGTTAAGCCTGACACTTCCTGTGAAGGGTCCCTAAATACCCAACATTGTGCATGTAAAACCTGAGTATGGACTCATATTCATTGACTATGATGGTGAATACAATATCGAAAGAATCCGAGTTCCACCTTTGTCCAATAGATCATTTGGAGTGTCTCAGGACTTGGCTAGATTAGAAATGAGATGCTGAGATGCAAGAAGCTTGGAGAAGGTGTACCTGGTTATATCAACTTCAACGGCTTAGATTACATGTCATTTCTATTTTGTAAATCTTATTTTCTTTTCTTTATTTTCAGTGTATAACCTATATGTAATAGGTCTACCAGTACTGATGGAAGACTTTAATATTTTTAATTCTTTAATATTCAATGAAATCACCATTTCACTAAAAAAGATTCCTGAAAAGAGTAAATGGGACAAGTATTTATGAGTTCCAATACTCTTACATTCACTAACAACTTTCTAGTTAGTGAATGTGCTTTCAGTTTCAGTTATCATTATTATGTCAGTTTATCCTTGAACTTGTAATCCTTTAAAACTTTAAGTAAATTTTCATAAGTAAACTATATCACTAAAAAAGATACCAAAACAGTTAAAAGGGACAAGTATTTTACTAGAACCTTTCCCTTACTGATGTAACTTAAGCAATATTTTATGTCGCTTTGCCATCATCAAATAAGGGGAGATTGTTGATCCTTTCTCTTAATGATTGATGATGATCCTTTTATCTATCAAAGTGAATTATTTTTGTTATTCAGTGTCAACGATCTTCACTGATTATGTTCAGTGATCGCTGAACATGTACTGTAATTCATTTAGAGACCAATATACTTCAAGAATACAAAACTCACCCCACAGATCCTTCAGTGATGTCGAAGACATAAACTGAATATTAGAGGCCAGCAAGTTCATGATCTAAAGTGGTGTTCAGTGATAACAAGTTCGTCTACAAACATGTGGAGTATACTCAAGATTCAGTGAACACTGATGAGAACTTTCAGCATCATTCCAGTGTTTAGCGATCAAAAGAAACTTGTCAATAAAGATTGTTTTTGTCTTGTCCTTCTACACACAAAGGACGAACCCATACCTTTCTAAGTACAGTATAGTACAGAGCCACTCCTTTGACTCTAAACGTGCTTACCTACTTTATGAAAGAGGACTGCTCATATACAGCCAAAAGGACTGTATATTCTAGCAAAGGACAACCTTTCCTGTAAAATATTTCCATGTGTCCTGTAGCTTCTAAATTGCATTTAATGCAATGGGTATAAATAGCTGAGTGGTTTTCCTCTCAATTATCATCTTCTTCACTAAGAACTTACCCAAGAAGTTACTTCTTTCTCTACTCTCTATTTAAAGAAAGATATATCCACTTTAACAAGTGAAGAACACATTTCGTCTTACCTTATTTCTTGTAGAAAATCTTTTCTTATTGCTATATGTATTTTGTGTGTATCTTAGATTGTTTAGAAAAGTTTTGTATCATTTCTCTTTCGCAAACAATCTGTAAAATTTTTATTGATTTTTTTTATCAATATATAATTTTCAAAAGTGAAAGTTATTGTGTTTGTATTCATTCCCCCCCCCCTTCTACAAACTCTTACCTATAAACTCTTGTAGATCCGGATGGGACTAACAAACCCTAACAGGTAAGAATAAGTCATCTTAGACCTATTCCTATCACCAACAAGTGCAGGGAAAAGTTATGTTCCCCCATAGAGCTGGACTTGTTTGAGTGCCAAATCTATTGAAATCTATTTCAGTATCTTCATTAAACTCCATTAGTCATGGTTCCAGAAGGTATATTCACTTCAAGGAACAAAATCATTTGAAATCCAATACTCAACACAGAAACCCCAAACAGATAGAAATTATATTGCTTTGCAAGAAATTCCCACCTAAACCTCGAGCTACACAAACGCAAACATGATTGCAGGTCACTTTCTCCATCTCCTACCATCCTAAGTTACAATCTAAGATCATATTTTCCTATGTGCAAATTCAGTGACCTTACGTAATAAATATAGCACTTGCTTCAAAGAATACAACATGTTCAATATCATCTAAAGTAATAGTCTTAAACATTTGTCATCAAAAATGTGCATATCATCTAAAGTAGTAGTCTTAATTGTAGGATCGATTAACTCAGTTTCTTGGTATTAATTACTTACTTGGATGATCTGTTTGACAGTGATAATGCAGCGAAAAAGATATGAATCAACCAAAGTAGAAATCAATAAGAACACAATGATGAAGATTGATGAACATAAAAGAAAGCTTCAAATGATTTTCAATAGATGAAAATGTTAACAATTACAATACGGAAGCACATTGAAATACAAGGGCCTACGCTGCTATTTATACAAGCAAGTAACCGTAATCTGACAAGACTTAAAGTAAATTAATCTAAGTCGTTCGATCAAAACAGATTACAGACAAGAACAAGTGATAAGCACGAGCAGCTAATAAACCTAAGTAAAACAGCTAAAGAAGATCTACACAGAAGATAGACTGCAGACCCTCTGTGAGACATCACAGAGGCTCTGCTGGATATAACATGAAAGCACATTGACGTAGAGGATATCTTCCAGAACCTCTGTGAGACACGACAGAGGTTCTGTCGTCTTTGTCTTATAGCGTTGTCTTTGCAGAGGACTAGTTTCCAGAACCTCTGTAAGACACCACAGAGGTTCTGTCACTTGAGACTTGTACGCTTGAGCATCTTCTGCTGTTGGTCCTCTATGGTCTTCTGTGACAGATCATCTTCTGTCAATACTTGCAGTTTACTTTTTCCATACTTTTACATTTAAAGAAATGAGAGCTAACAATCTCCCCCTAAGTATGAAAAAAAACTTTAAGTGCAAGAACATGACATGATTAAAATGAAATTACAAGAGGTGATAAAACATCATCCTCTGATAGAATTACAATGAAAAAAAAAATACAAAACTTAAATGACAAAACTGTTGAAGCTTAGGCCGGATCTTGGTACAGAAGGGTATCAAACTACAGAGTCTGGAAAATCATCTACTGCGAATACAAAATCAGTCTTGATTGTTCTGTAGACATTGAAAATCCATTCTCTGAAGTTGATTTGAACTTTGATCGCTTTCAAGAAAGGAGACAGTTCACCCGCCCTATAATGCCATCTATCCACCTCTGTCAAAACACACTTGAAAATCCACTCCAGCGTCTCTGTTGAATACTTGTGAGCTTCTGTTGGATCGAAGAATCTTAGTATCTTATCCTTATCTAAATACACAAACCCAAAAATGGGATTTTGTATGATGGAGTTTGGATAGTACCTAGATATCCAACTAGGCCTGCTGTATGGAGGAGAGAGCTTTAGATCTTTCTGTGCTAATCTCACGGCCAACTCAAAGTCCTTCTGGCTGTAATACCGTACTTGTGCACGCATTACCTCAATCAGCCTTCTGAGTGATATTTGGTATGTGGACCTCTTCTCCATGTAGATGTTAAGAATCTTGTGCATGTAGATGACATCAAACACGCAGAGGTTATGTAGATCCGCATCCGTGAACGTGTAGAAATTGCCATCTTCTCTCCTTACTACATACTGTGTGTAGAGCACGGTCTTCTTTAACAGGGTCCTTGGAGAGATTGTCACCAATGACGTGATCATGTGCCGTGAGAAAACCTGCTCACGAGGCCTTGTTAATTTGGTGAAGTGGAACTTGGCGATTGACGAGGGAATATCGGTGAGCTCTGGGTCATAGGGTGGCTCTGTGTCTGCTACAGAGTATTTCCAAATAAGCATTTCTTCTGGGGTAGTGACGGGCTCTGTGAGAATATTTTGCATAGGAATCTTGCTCATAGATTCAAGGATTTCAGAGACCCGTCCTGCCATTGTAGACTCTGGCATCCTGTGTTCTTCTTCTTCTTCCAGAATCGGCCTCTGGGTTGATCCCTCTGCAAGGATTGGCTTAACGGTTCCTTGCAGGGCATCAAACGTACCCGTGGACGTTGCTTGGACTTGTGGGAAAAAGGATGATGTGGCCTCG